ACCTTCAGGGGCACAGTTACCCCATTCAGGACCAAGGAGTCCTCCACACCAGCCCACCCCCTGTCCCCCAAAAACAGTACTTCTGTCTTGTCAGGATTCAACTTCAATCCATTAGCCGCCATCCATCCTCCAACCGCCTCCAGGCACTCACACAGGACCTTCACCGCCTTCACTGGTTCTGATTTGAAAGAGAGGTAGAGCTGGGTATCATCTGCATATTGATGGACACCCAGTCCAAACCCCCTGATGATCTCTCCCAGCGGCTTCATATAGATGTTAAAAAGCATGGGGGAGAGGACGGAACCCTGAGGCACCCCACAAGTGAGGGTCCAGGGGTCTGAACACTCATCCCCCCCACCACTTTCTGAACACGGCCCAGGAGTGTTAAGTTGTGGGCGAACATGTCAGACGACACAGCGATTCTTTAAACAGCTCTTCTTTATTCAGATGCCAGAACAGAACTAGGCTGAGGAGCTCAGTCAGCCTGCTTATATAGAGCTCCAGAACAATGCAACTGTTGCCATTTTCTAAAACTATCCAATCACTGAATGTCACTTTTCGATCCTTCATTTGCATACAAAACTATCCAATCACTTAACGTCACTTTTCGATCCTTCATTTGCATAACTATCTACAGTATCCCCCTGCTGGCCCAGGGTGAGAACTTCAGTACATAACAAGGAGGAAGGAGCGAAACCACTGTATAACAGTGCCCCCAGCTCCCAGCCCCTCTAGACGGTCCAGAAAGATGTTATGGTCGATTGTATCAAAGGCCGCTGAGAGATCCAGCAGAACTACGAAACAGCTCTCACCTTTGTCCCTAGTTCACCGGAGATCATCTTTTTTTTTTTTAAAAAAAATGATATTTATTAAAATTTCAGAAACAAAAAATTACATAGTTAAAGAGAAAAGAAACAAGAAAAAAAATAAAAAAGAGAAAAAACATACGAAATACAAAGTACAGAAAAAAGTAAAAAACACTTAAAAACAAATTAATCCTTCCGTATCTTACATTTCATTTCCTTGCTACCCTGACCTCCTCTCACCTCCCTTTTTTGTATTCCAGTTCAATTGGTTAATTCAGCAATTCCTTTCCCTCTTTGTTTTTGTCTTAGTCCTTTAACTTAATATATTATAGCTTTAGATTCTCTCCTATTAACAATCCATTTTTACATACACCTTTATGACATTGCTGCTAAAACCACTTAACTTCATTCTGACATCATTCTAACATTCATTAATTTTGCAATATTTCTGTAAATAGTCTTTAAATTTCTTCCAATCTTCTTCCACCGACTCTTCTCCCTGGTCTCGGATTCTGCCAGTCATTTTCTCCAGTTCCATGTAGTCACGCCGGAGATCATCAACCAGCGCGACCAAGACAGTTTCAGTCCTATGATGAGGCCTGAATCCCGATTGGAAGGGATCCAAATGGTCCGCATCCTCCAAGCGTGCCTGGAGTTGTTCAGCAACCACTCGCTCAATCACCTTGCCCAAGAATGGAAGATTTGAGACTGGGCGATAGTTGGCCATACTGGCCGGGTCTAAAGATGGTTTTTTAAGAAGCGGTTTAATGACCGCCTCTTTCAGCGGATCTGGGAATGTTCCCTCACAGAGGGAAGCATTCACCACCCCGCAGAGCCCATCACCCAGCCCTTCCCGGCTTGCTTTTATTAGCCAGGATGGGCAAGGATCAAGGAGACAGGTGGTTGGTTCCATGCGTCCAAGCAGCCTGTCCACAGCCTCGGGGGTAACGGATTGAAATTGATTCCATGCAACTTGACCAGACAGGGCTCTAGCACTCTCCCGCCCCAGCCCTGCTCCCACGGTGGTGTCTAGCTCCTTCCGAATATGAGTGATTTTATCTGCAAAAAACTTTGCAAAATCGTTGCAGGAGATCTTGGGGTCTTTACAAGGCCCCGGTGGTAAAGGTGGTTCCATTAAATTGCAAACCACCTGAAAGAGTCTCCTGCTACTATTTTCTGCAGATGCAATAGAGGCGGTGAAGAAAGTCTTCTTCGCCGTCGCTATCGCCACTTGGTAGGCTCGACGTTGAGCTCTAACCTGTGTCCGGTCAGATTTGGAATGAGTTTTCTGCCACCGACGCTCTAGCCGTCTCAGTGATTGTTTCCTCACCCTCAGCTCCAAAGAAAACCACGGGGCTGTCCGGGCTCCATGCAATCGGAGAGGGCACTTCGGAGCCAGACAGTCGATGGCCCTGGTTAACTCTGCATTCCAGCGGGCCACCAGGGAATCAGCTGAAAGGCCATCAACATGGGATAAAGCATCCCCTACCACTCTCTGGAAACCATTTGGATCCATTAAGTGGTGGGGGCAGACCATCCGAATTGGTCCCACCTCCCTGCAGAGGGGAAGGGTCGCGGAGAAGTCCAGTTGCAGCAGGAAGTGATCTGACCATGGCACTTCTTTTGTTTCACTTTTACTTAGTGTCAGATCACCCACATCACTAGAGGTGAACACCAGGTCTAAGGCATGTCCGTGACTATGAGTTGGGCCAAACTTATTCAGGGACAGCCCCATGGAGGCCATGCTTTCCACGAAGTCCCGAGTGGCCCCTTGTAAGGTCATGTCGGCATGGATGTTAAAATCCCCTAGGACAACCAAACTAGGTGTCTCCAGGCAAGCTGTGGATCTGCACTATACTGTCAGTAAAGGAACTGGCTCTACTTGGAACTGTCTGGTGTTTTTCTGTTCCACTGGCACACTCCACATGCCACAACAAAAATAAGTAAAGATTTACAATCCATTTGGCTACACGAAAGACTGCCATACACATAGCTAATTTAGTTTTTAGATAATTAGCCAATGCATTTTCAATTGCTTCCATAGCTATTCATAAGCTATTGCGAAGGCCCAATTTGGGCAAAAAGGGTTGTTCATAGATTTAATAAATAAAATGTTTAAGGCTGAAGAGCCATATTTATGCTTTATGTACTTTAATGGGCAATACAAATGATAGGCAGCCATGTGGGTAACCAGATAAGAGACTTGGGTTCAATACACACATCTCTGCTATGGACTCACTGGGGCCAGTAAGATGGTCTCAGGCTTCCTGTTGCAAGATGGGAACAGTATGGCTGACCTACTTCACAGTTTGCACAAAAAGGGGAGCTACTACTTATACTATGCAACTTCATTTTAAAACACCTATCCACATAGTCAGAAACTAAATGCTGACACAGAGGTCTAGACATGAAACATGCATGAAGAGATGTAGCTCCAAATGACTTCTATAAAAAGAACATCAATTTGATGTTTGCTTCCTTTGAACAGATACACTCAAAATTTAGAAGTACTTTTTCCTACTCTTGCTGATTGTTTAAACCACAGCATTAGCTCCAAATATATAAGCAGGCTGAGGAGCAGGAGATGAGTCTTCATTTTCCCACACAGTAAAAATGATTACTATACTATATACTATTACTATATATCCTGCCCGGGATAGTTTAATTCAAGGCAATTTAGATCACAAAAATGCTGATTTAGAATTCTAAAATCCTGTTTATTAATTAGACAAAAACTTCCTGATTAGAAATGCATGCTAATTTGTTGCGAAAACTATAGAAACTTTTTTAAAAAAAAAAAATAATTAGACTATTGACTGTGAGCCAATTGCAGAGATCAGATATAAAAGACATAAAAAACTAGGCATAAAAATGGAGTGAAAGATCATGCAGGGAATCAGTGGGTGCCGCTAGTCCTCAGCCTCTAATAGTATCAAGCCAAAATAGCTCTTTCTTTCCCAAGAAAAACAGTTGTAAGAAAATCATAAATTCAATTTTAATTCAATTCAATTATATATTTGCATTAAATTCTGTTTGAAAACCATGCTTTAAAAACATATATAACTAAAACATTAATGAAATAATAATTATAATTATTATTATTATTTAAATCAACGGTTATCTACCCTCACCATGCAAAAAAATGTTGTTTCTCCCCAGGAATCACCACCCTAAGGCAGCCCTAAATTCTGATCTTCCCCAGTTTCAAACCAAGATACAAGAGGGCCTTGAAGGGGCAACGCCGCTTAAGGCAGCAGTGCGTTCCAGAGATGCTCTGCTTCTTTCAAGACAAACCCTGCAAGTTTTGAAGCATGTTCATGACCTATGAAAAAGGCAAAGAATGCTCCCTTCAGAAGATGCCTAACTGCTGCAAAGCTCCAGCTATTCAAAATAACAATTTTTTAGGAATACTGAGTTTTAGAGTATCACTTGCATCTTGGTTCAGTTATGATATAACTCCAAAGCTAGAGAGCTACATTCAGGGTCATTTAAGCCTGAACATTCTTCTCCAGGCACATAAGACACATGGCCTGCTTCTTACGAGGAGTGCTGCTTCTTCAGCAACACTCAGTTTACTTCAGGTATAAATTGAAAAAATAAGTTTCTTGGGGCGTATGTTGCAAAAAGAAAATCTTCAATTTTTTCACCTCCCTACTGTAAATCATCTGGTACTTTTAAATTTGTCTACAAAAAGGACTGTATCAAAATATTTTAGTAAATTAATATTTTACAATTCATCTATTCTAGTAAATAAATAAAAATTATTATTATTATTATTATTACACCATTAATATTTATTTTTTCTTTAAAAAGATATTACATCTTAACTCCTGTGACATGACTGACTTGAACAGAACAAGCATAGTGAATTCTCTGTCAAGACTATTCAAAAGGTATTTTGCTGATTAGAAGTCAGGAGTTCAGCTCAGTGGCTGAGCACCCACCATGCAAGCAGGAAATCCTAGGTACAATTACCAGCACCTTCAGGTCAGGCTGAAAAAGACTCCTGCCTGAAGCGCAGGAGAACGGTTGCCAGTTAGCAATGACAAGACTGCGCTAGATGGAACAATCACCTGACTTGGCATAAGACCGCTTCCTATGTTCCTAAATACAGGACGGAAAAGCCATGGTTCCTCCTGCCCTCAGCCCAAACGCTAATGGCACAAGGGAGGCTTCACTACACAGAACCGCCATTCACACATGTGGGTTCATGCACCGACAAAGAGGCACCTTCAGTCTTTCTATTCTAGCTAGGGCCCCGTCCACAGTACAAAGCTGGTCTGGCATGAGGAGCAACAGGATGTTTACACCTTGATGTTCTCTTTGGACAGAAATAGAAACAAAACCTAAGGGGCATAAGTCTGGATCAGATCAATGTGTGTGTGCCCAGTCCAGGGTCTTGCTTCCAGCACTGACTAGCCAGGTGCTTCTAGGAAGTCCACAAGCAGTCTGTGATGATGCTGTCCAGGCCCGCCCACTGGTTAATAATACTGTACAGATTCCATCTTGAATCTGCTGCCCATCGGTTATCAATGGCTGCATATTACTTCCAGTATCAGACAGTCTGAATACCAGCTGCTGGGGAACACGAATGGGCATGTGCTACGACCATTAGATCCTGCTTGCAGGCTTCCCACGGACATTTGGTTGACTGCCAGGAGAGCAAAATGCTGGACTAGGGAGGCCCTTAGTCTATGTTGTGTTACCAAGATTCTCTTTACCACACATCATTTCCCCAATCCCACATCTCTGCAGTTTTCTACGCTACCAATACAAAAGTTGTCCTCTAAGAGAGTAAATACACAAGACCAAACCCTGTAAGGTATCTGTGGCATGAGAGCAGTTTCTGCCATTTGGGAAATAAGGCCATACATCAGGTTTCCTCAAAACAAAGAAAGAATGCCATTATTGAAAAAAGACTCTTTAAAAAATGCAGTTGTGGTCTGTGCCCCATATAGTAATTTCATAAGAGTGACAAGTCATTGTATATTTCAACACTGGGTTGCAATGTTAACATAGTTACTCGTAAGCTATTCCAACAGCATCCCATGAAAATCCAGGTGCCCACCTGTGCAAGTCTGAATGTATAGTAATTAAATGTTCCTGGTACAGAATAAACACAGGCTGTGAGGAGAGTAGGCAACCAAATGTATGAAATCCTTAGTTTGGAAAGCTTCTATAGCTGGTCACTGTATTACATGGTCCCCATATCCCACAATTATTTCCTGGAAGAATTTGCAAGTCAAGTATCTCCCAGCAAACTGTTAAGTGCATTCCACTGAACTACAGCTGAACTGGGCAATCCTGACATATGAAGGAGAACGTCTCACCTTCCAACAGCAAAAGGCAGATGGTCAAAGGGGGAGCATCTGTAGAACACTGTCTAGACTTTGCTAAGGGTTTTCTAACTGCTTGCAATGAGCCAATGTCACATTTTTTCCAGTGAGACCGACACGTTCCCTTCCCACGTTTGAATAAGGTTTGGGGTTTACTAGCATTAAGGACTCAACATGTACTGTCACTTAATTTTTATGTATGCAATCCTTCCTGACAAATATGATCTGCTGCTGGGTAATTCATTTGACGTTCATTCTGTTCCTTGCTCTAATTATGGCTTACATTTCTGACATGGAGGCGTCTGTGCTGCCAGAGCCAGGAGTACACCTGTCAGACAAGTTGTGGTACTGCCTAATGCCCTTTTATGCCAGGTGAGTTTGCACTGGGAGCAAGTGACACAAGGATGGGATCATTCAGAGAGCATTTTCCCACAGGATAAGTGGAAGCAGGTAACTGAAAACAGCAAATCCTTGATAGCCAATAAATTAAGTCTTCTAAAGTTATACAGTATGAACCAAATAGGTATCTGTGGCTTTATGAATAATGCACAAAAAACTTTATATGAAGCAGTCCAATTTCTGAATTGCATCTCCTCGCCACTATCTGAAAGAAGATTCATAACCTGTTTTTCCTTATAGTCTATAAGCATGCCTAGCGCATGCAGAAGACTTGCTCAGACTCTGTCAGGGAACTGCCATCAGTGCCGGAGGGAGAGAGCAAAATCCAGAGGGATTCCGGAGAGCGTCCCGGGATTGGGAGAGGCAGCCCATCTTCTGGGGAAGAGAATCAGTGTAGCACCAGTGGAGAAGGGGGGCAGATGGGGGAAGCGGCGAGGCGGTCCCATGACTCCTTGCTGGGGACCAGCGGGGAGAGTAGGGGTCCTCCGCTGCCTACGCCCTCCTTGCGCAGAAGGCTTTCGCGCAGAGAGAGTAGGAGGAGACTAGGCGTCAAAAAGCTTCTTTGCTGGAAGAAGTTTAAGAAACGCCCACTGACGGATTCTGCCAGCGATTGAGACAGGCACGGGTGAGTGGCTGTCCGGATAGAAAAGGTTCACTCAGGCAATCCAGCCAGGTGTTTGCACCGGCTTATGCACGAGCAACCCCTAGAACCACTACAGACTCCTTTAACCATTTTGATCTTAAACTGTAGAAGAATGTCATGTAAACAAAGGAAGAGCCATCAGAGGCCACAGAAAGTTGTTAGGATCTAACCTACTGCTTGGCCACAGTAAATAGTCCTTTCCATGGTGTGTCTGAAGGTGGCTGCTATATTACTTGCATCACACCAGATAGTCAGAGGTCCGCCTGTGATTTCAGAATTCCTTTGTGAAGAACAATAGCAATTACACCAGCAACCATTCCACAATTCAGGAATAAGAAGAGATTTTTTTTCCTTTTTGAGCCTTCATAGCAAATTATGCATTTACCTTCTAAATGGTGTTTCAGATCTCCAACAAAACAAAAAGCAAGGCACTCAAAGTAGAAGGTAATAAATATTGGCTGACAGGGGCAATGTTGCAGAATAGCATATTGCACATCTTAGCTGGTGATCATAAAATATATAATTTCATCACTAATAGGTAAAAAAACAGCAACTACCATGTGACCAAGAAATTTCTGACTGAGTCAGGTGAATTGGGTAACTGTCACTCAGGCGCAATTTCATGAGGGATGTTAACCTAAGGAATGTGCTGTGAGGAGAACCTGAGCTTACAGGGTTAAACAGCTCAGAGTGTACGCCCTGCCTACTGTTGGGAGAGGGGAGGTTCGTCATTTCCGAGAGCCTCAAGCCTTTGTTTTCTCTCTACTTTCGCTTTTGAGGAGAGAGGACGTGTTTTCACGATGCTGTTCGCTGTGATAGATAATGGATAGTCTGCTGTAAATAAAACTGCTTTTAGCTGCTAAGATCCTGAGTGGACTTTATTTAAGCACACTGAAGAATGCTCTGGAGTTTTTTGCAGTCTTTCTCTTACCGCTGCTGATCTCTGCTTTGCTCAGAGCATCGGAATGTGGTCTTTGGAATGCAGAGGCCTGGCCAGCAAGAGCTGCGCAGCGGAAGCGTGCCGGACGTCAGGCTTATCTGAGCAATAAATCAATCTGCTTAAGATGTGCGGCAGTAGTTTTAGAGCTAAAGAAGCGGCCCAGTCCAAGATCTCCAAGTTTCACAACTCCAGAGGCTGTTATGAACACATTGGCTGGCTTTATGTCTGGAAGACAGAAGAGAGAAAGTAAGTCAAACCAAGAGGGCTTTTTTGGGCTCCATCACGGCCCACAACCTCCTCCCCAAGGATGAGTGACTAGGTATGCATGTACAGAACTTTGAAAACTGAATTTCCTAAGCCATAGTATTGATGCTTTCCCAGTCTATTTTACACATCAGGAGAAAGGAAGTTTGTGGGGAAGGATAAACATATTTTCCCACAACAAACAAATGAAAATTGAGTCTGGCTTAAAACACTGCAAAAGCATAAAGCGCCATTATGCTCTTGAAGGGTAATTTCATTTTTTAAGGATTTTGAACATTTGGAGGAAAATAGCAATAAAAATAAACATGCACCTGGACAAAATACTAATATTAGCAACAATATTTTCTCTTTCCAGATTACAACTGCTTGCATTCAAATTGGAATGAGTTCATAGGAAGACCACTGCAGCCTCTTAATTCTAGAAATATTAGTATAGTATTTGGTGAGGGTGTCGTCATAGCCAGGAAGGATTGATGAGACTCCCTAGTGCTGTTTTCTCATCTGTAAAATAGAGAAAGGAACAACAGCCTCATGGGCCTGCAGTGGGATGAAAGGAAAATCCTCATGAACTTGGTGATGAAGCAAAAGAATTTGGAAGAGCAGGACAAGAGCGGTGTTTGCTACACTGCAAGGAAAACCAATTTGAGGACAGCATCAGGGCAAGCAACTGTTGTTACACATTTGTGTTTTCCTGAAGCATCTCTGTTAAGTTGTGGGTGAACATATCAGACGACACAGCAATTCTTCAAACAGCTCTTGTTTATTCCGAGGCCAGAACAGAACTGAACTGAAGAGCTCAGTCAGCCTGCTTATATAGAGCTCCAGAACAACGTAACTGTAGCAACTTTCTAAAACTATCCAATCACTGAACATCACTTTTGATCCTTCATTTGCATACAAACTATCCAATCACTGAACGTCACTTTCGATCCTTCATTTGCATAACTATCTACAGTATCCCCCTGCTGGCCCAGGGTGAGAACCTCAGTACATAACACCCCTCCCCACTGAGATAAGGCGTTAGTCACAATCGTAACGGTTTCCTTATATACAGCACTACATGTAATGGTTCAATTAGGCACAAAACCATATCGGTTACATTTCACATACTTAGACCAACAGTGATACATGTCCAACAACATAGTCCTTTAAATAAGTTGGGCGCTTGGAAACTCTGCCAGACCGCCGGGGACTGGTAGCCAAGTCCGGGGGGCCACCCAATTCTTGCTGAGGCTGTGGTGCGACCCTAGGTGGCATTGAAACCAAGTCCCCTGGATCTGCTGCTGTGGGTGGAACCTCCGCAAGTGGAGTTGGCAGAATGTCAGGCACGGCAGTGGTCTGAGTCTGTGGTAAGTCTGGCAGACCCTCTGAAGTGGCTTGGTTCGGCTCCATGCCGGCAGTTTGCGAGAGAGGTGTAGGTGGAGCCTCACCATCTGTAAGTGTCTGTTCTGGAGCCACGAACGCAGTTGGGGGCACCACGGTAGTGTCCAAGTCCCCAACCCTGTGCCTAAGCTGGTCTATGTGCCGGCGCCACAAGCGTCCGTCTTCGAGTGCCACCTGGTACGAGCGAGGTCCAGTGACTCCCACTACTGTGGCTGGCACCCAAGGAATGTCCCCCACAAATTTCCGGGCAAAGACCTGGTTTCGGAGCGGTCCAAGATGGCGACGGCTTAGCAAGCAGGCTTCGGAGCTCCGCAGATAACAGGACTGTAATTAGCATTGACTGCCACCCAGGGAAGTAATTTTTCCTTTTTACTTCTCTACTTTTTAACTTACCAACTTACTGAGATTCTAACAGCACCTTCTTGTCTATGCTATGAGAAACATCTTGGGCAAGTTCTGTGAAGCATCCTGGGCAGGCCGCCAGCTGCTATCTATTAACCGCCAACTCCCTTCTATACTTTGTTCCTGAAACTCCGGGCAGTCTCCACACAGAGAAGCTCTTAAATTGAACAAACTGAGCACTTTCTATTTTTTCTCTCTTTGTTGGTTGGTGAAACTTCTCCTTGTTTACTCCCCATGGTGACGCTATGCCTGCTGGTAAACGCCACAGGGACCCAGAGGATGTAGCTCTCTCACCGGTTCCCAAACAATCTAAAATAGAGGACTTTTTAAACAAATCTGCTTTTATAGTTCCAACAAAAAAACGGTTTTCTCCTCTTGAAGATGATTGTGAGTGTGGGGAGAGTATTCATTTTTTAAAAAATAATTTTTATTAACCAACCAATCAAATCAAATCACATCACATAAATTCCGAATTAAAAAGCCAAATTTTAAATTTTTTGTTGTGGGGACCCATATTTCAAGTTCCGAAGGGGATTCCAATCATCTTCTTGCTGCTGCGTTGATATCCACAAATCTGTCCAAATAATGTTCATAATTCTATCCAGTCCTATCTTGCTGTTCCCACATCTCATCTTGTTTGTATATTTTTCTTTTTTTACTTTATGATGTCTTCTGATAATCTCCTTAAGCAGGTAAACACCAGTTATAATCCTGTGTGAATTTTCCGTTCGTCCAATCATCATGTCGAGATGGTTTCCATATATCATCACTTTGTGGTTCGAGGACCCGACCCCCGCGATGTGAAATGAATACACAAGGACACGTGATATAAGGTTAATGGGCATGGAAAGGCCACAACTTTCTTGATTACAGCAGTGAAAAGGTATTGGCTTAGGCATTGGATCTCTAAAACACGTGGGTTTATTCACCAGTAGGTGGAGCCTGTTGATGCTAATCCAACTATAGGCTCCCCCCTGATGTCACCGAGGGTCGTGCCATGGCCTCCCGCCAAGCAGGCATCGGACAGAACACACGACCGCCAGATTCCTTTAACGGAATACCCAAAAAATTGAAGGCATAGGCGATGGCCACACCTAGCCCTTCGACAAACCACAACACATTATTCCAATGCCTAACCTACCCACCAATACCACAAAAGTTGTGACGATTGCTACGAGGTAGGCGAAAAAACCAAAAAGCCTAATGCCAAATGGAAAAACTCCTACCAGGCCCCCCTGGACAACCAGGGCGACCAACCTAAGGTCCATAGCAAGGCCAATGACCTAAGCCCTAACTCTAAGGGAGTGGAGGGTGGGTGACTCGTGACGAGACGACGGCAAAGAATGAGGCCAGGGAGAGGCTGGCACCGCAGCATAAGGCTGCTGAACACGCCCCCTCCGAGGCACCTGGTTGGATGCCTGCAGAGGGGGCGTGGGCGCCAGACAGGTGAGGTGGAGGCAGGGGGCAACCGCCCCCTGCTAGGGGCAGTGCTCGGGCTCCCGCCCACAACCACTCCCCTCTCTTCCAGGGAGGAGAGTCTTTCATAAATAAAAGCACTCTTTCCATCATTAGTCTCCCAAATCTGTCGCCTTCATTAGTCCCTCTGAGGAGACTCACCCACAATATGAAAACAGATCTATTCCTCCTCCCAGACATAAGTCTTTCGACAGAACTTGCCAAGATGGCGACGTTATTTTTTGCTGCGTCATTCCAAAGCTCTTATGCTTTCCACGATCTCCTTAAAACATGCTTTGGTTAGAAAATTATCTCCACACAGTCTTAAATCCTCAGCTTAAATAATTTAAACGGCATTTCTGACTTGTGACTTGGGGGGGGGGATTCTTGGTTAATCACATAGAGAAAAGAAAGGAAAATCCCCCCCCCATCCAGTCCCGTTGCCGAACATACTGAGCCTTGGTGTGTCTTCTCATGATTTATTCCTGTTCCTCCGACCCGTCTTGTTTATCAGAGATCTCTTCAGTTAGCAGTCTTTACTCCCCATTCTTCCTTGAAATATGTGCATTAGCTTCCTCCTAATTGTTTCTTTTGAGTTTGCTGCAGCTAGAGGTGCGAATCAGAGACAGCATCCAGGAGCGCCGAAATCCGCACAAGGGCTTTCTGCCTAGTGCCCCCACCCCCTCAAATTCGGGGGTGGTATGGGGCACAGCAGGCAAGGGCAGTCCCCCCCACACACGCTGGGGGGGGGGAGGCTGTTTACTCCCATCACAGCCTCTTAATTACCTCGTGTTGGTCTGAGAGATGTTATTGTCAGCCATCTTCCAATGCGCCCCTAGTGGCCCCTCTGTGGGGAGAGTATTCAAGGTGAGAACGTGGAACTGGATACAGCAATGGGGCAAGTTGATCCTGTGCTCCTCAGAGAGGAAGGAATAACAAGTAGGGAGAGCACCCAATTAACTCTAATTGCAAGAACGGTTGAGCATATCTTCCAACAAATTAGAGGTATTGCCTCTCAAATAACCCAATTATCCAAAGAGGTCCACAGTTTATCAGTTAATAACAAGCAGGCATCAACAGAACACCATAGTACCAAAGGAAATTGGCGACAACAAGAGCAGACCCCTAAGCTCAACATAGAACGTGCAGAGGCTCTTAAAACAAACTCTTCTTATTTAATCTTCCAACCAAAAAAGATCTGCATGACAATTTGTGGAAGGCCAGATCAAACTCCTAGCTGGAAAGGTGCCCAGCGTTCCAAACGACATTTATCAGACTTACTTGGCATTGGACTTACAGAGATCGACCTCGTTAGGACTGAACTCTTGAATAACACAAATCAAAGCCAAAAAATTATGTTAACTTTTTCCTCTACTAGACTGCCCTCACTGATTCACAAGATGAAATTCAGATTGTCAAGCAGAGGAGTTTTTCCAACCCGGGTATTTCGCAATTCTATTTTTGCACCCTTATGTAAGATGAGGACTGGTGCTTCAGAGAGGCTCACAAAACCAAAGCCTGGATCCCCAATGGAAGTAATGACATCACAAAAAAACTTGACAGGTGGGGAGAAAACAGACATGCCTGAGTTGAACTCGCAGGATCATGCCCAACATCAAAATAACCAGGTGAGCCAAAAGCAACAGCCGATTCCTCTAGACAATCATCTTCAGGAATCTGAGCACTCTGTAAATCATTTGGAAGAGGATTTTCTCAGCTCCTTTAGGAATCTCCCTCATGAAGAGCAACAAACAGTTATCAAGAGGCTTGAACTTATGAGCCAGACATTGAAAGAGATTAAAGAACCGGAGGCAGAGATTGATAATAGACCCAATGGCCACAACAGAATGATAACTATAGAACCACCGGAGTATTGGACAAAGATGAGATATTTAGAAGAGGAGGAGTCAGGAAATACACCCAAGGAATCCCCATTGGCAAGCAATTTGCAAAGAAAAGGCCCAGTGATTACAAATGTGAGTACTTTATGTACGACGACTGAAATAATCGAACATCTGGATTATTCCACTAGCATTAGCAATACTCTGTTGCCTCAAAAACTGGTAAACTCCGAGAGTACATTGGCCAACAACTGACTAAGAGTAAATCACTGTAAAACAATTAAACTTCTCTCATGGAATGTAACAGGGTGGATGAACAAGATCCAAGACAGTGATTTCTGTTCTTATCTACAAACACATGATATCATCTTTCTTCAAGAAACCTGGCAAAAGTGGGCACTATGGTTGAATTACAGGGTTTTACAAGTTACACTCAACCAGCTCTTAAAACTGTAAAGTGGGGGCCTAGTGGGGGCCTAGTGGGGGCTGGCGGTGCTGGTGTCAACCTCTCTTAATGTATCAATTCAACAGTGTCCCTCGCTGACCACCCCTAATTTTTTAGCGTTGTCCCTTTCTGATAGTCTCCTGAGAAATACTTATTGCATCTGTGTGTACATACCTCCACTAAAGTCTTGTGGGGAACTGAGATCATATTGGGATAAACTTGACCAACTACTCGAAAGTATAGACTCTCTGTCACCTGACCCTCGGCTTGTCTTGGGATGTGACTTCAATGCCTGGATCGGCCTTGTTTCCCCACAAAATACAATATTATCTGGTCTAAACTTGGAGGACGAACCTGAAATCTGTCAGAGGGCAGCAATGGACACCATCTCTAATCGGGCTGGGAAATATCTTTGTGAACTTATAATAAAGCATAACCTTTTGTTATGCAATGGGCACGGTCAAGGGGATCAAGAGGGTTATTTTACTTTTATCTCCCCCAGAGGATTTACTAGCACCATAGATTATATCCTAACATCTAATAATGTGCCAGTTAACCGAGATACCTTCAGGATAATTCGCAGAACTGAAAGTGACCACTTTCCACTTGAGTTATCTTTGACATCATTCTTTTCTCCTGCCTTTCCTAAATTATTGGATGAAACAGAATATCTGATACTTGGAAACAGAAGGTTAAAATGGAATGCACAGGTTCAAGAAAAAAATGATTCAGATCCTGGATTCCCATGAATTTGCTTTATTAAAGGGGGAAATGTTGTTAGACACAGGAAACATAATTGGACTTTATGAGAACATAATCAACCGAATGCGCCCACTGATGACCACAGCTAGTGTGATAAAAAACAAAAAGTTTAAGAGACAGACTTGGTTTGATAAGGAATGTCAGAATAGCAAAAAATACCTAGCTAGGGTACTTAGAAAATTGAAGTTAAAACAGGATAAGCACAATCTTGCTCTACAAGCTGAGGTAGCCCAGTTACGAAACAATTATAAATTATTACTTAAAAGCAAGAAACAAATATATTATGAACAACAGTGGAAAGAATTGGGAGTTGCAGCATTTCAAAAGGACTCACGGAAATTTTGGCATCTGGTTGCCCAAGGCACAAATGGGCTGGGCTACTCATTAGAAGCATCTGTCCAAGGAAAGGATTGGGTGACATATTTTACAGAAATATATGGCCCCTGTCCTGACCCACCCCCACAAGTTTACTATACTCAGTTATCAGAACTGCCAGAATGGCTAGACGTCACGCCCAATCAGATTAAGAGGCTAATCGCAAACCAACTAGCTAATAAAGCTCCAGGAGAAGACATGATCCCAATGGAGATCTATAAGATAAGACCTGATTTCTGGTCTCCCATTTTTGCAAAATTGTTTTCATACATTAACAGCTCAGGTCGCATACCTGAAGGGTGGAAGTTGAGTATAATTGCCCCAATATATAAAGAGGGTGATAAGAAAAACCCTGCCAATTATAGACCCATTAGTTTGTTAGATGTAGCCTCCAAACTATATGCCAGGCTCCTTCTTGGGAGACTAGAAGAATGGGCAGATACAAATAAGGTGATATTTGAAGTCCAGGCAGGTTTCCAAAGAGGGAATCCACATTGGACCAGTGCTTTGTGCTGAACTTTCTGCTATGTAAATACATCCATAATTTGAAGCAAAAATTATATGTTGCTTTTATCGATCTAAAGTCAGCTTTTGATACGGTCCCAAGACACGCATTGTGGCAAAAATTGGAAAAGACAAATATAGACCTCCGGCTATTATTTCTCATCAAAACATTATATACTGACACATCAATACAAGTAAAGGTGGATCTGGCTGGCCATCTCACCTCTAGAATTAAGACCATTACTGGAGTCAAACAGGGATGCATTTTGGCACCTTTCCTGTTCAATTTTTATATTAATGACATGGTTAAAGAACTGGAGGGCCTACAGTTTGCCCCGTCACAATTCTCGACCAAAAACTCTCAGTTTTAACGTATGCTGATGAATAGCTGTCAAGTGTCCCTTATTTGAAGGGACAGTCCCTTATTCCAGCGCCATGTCCCGCTGCTGTCCCTTATTGATGGATGTCCCTTAAATGTCCCTTAAATGATGTCCCTTAAATTTCAAAGGAAGCAGCTCCTCTCCCTCCCTCCCTGCCAGCCAGGGAGGGGGAGGCTCCAACTGTGTTGCTTGGCTGTGTTGCTCACCCAATAAGAAGTCTAAGAACGACTGGGGGTGGAGCTTGCATGCCTTGTGTGTGGCTAGTTAATGCAAGCTGAGGGGGGTTTTGAATGCTGGACGCCATTTTGTTGCACATGCTGCTGCAAACTTTGCAGTGCAAAGCTAGGCTGGGGAGCCATCTTAAGTTGAGGCTGCATAGGCCTTGTGGTGCATGTGATTCAGATTCTATTCAGTTGAACCTCTGGTTACAAAGTTGGTTGGACAGTGTTCTCGAAGCTACCAGCATGAGTTTGACCAGACTGCAGGAGGACAGGAAGACTGGAGTGCCTGGAACAGATGAGGCTGCAGGTCCCTTATTTTGGCTGCTGGTCCCTTATTTTCAAGGCTGCTGGTCCCTTATTTTCAAATCTGTAAGTTGACAGCTATGTGCTGATGACCTAGTACTTGTATCTAGAACCCAGGTGGGCCTGAGACGGCTGCTTGCAAAATTAAGTTCATATTGCACGAGGAATGCTTTATCTATAAACTATGATAAGACGCAGGTCATTGTATTTTGGAAGCGTTCTAAAAAGCATGTTTGGCACCTGGATGAACACATCATAAACCAAGTAAATACGTTCAAATATCTGGGATTGATTTATTCAGAAACGGCATCTTGGAATACACAGCTATCCAATATTAAATTGCAAGCCTTTAAATCAGCAAAAGCCATTCTGAAATTCGCTGCCTATAAAGGTGGAAATCTGGTCAACCCAGCTCTATCTGTGTATAAAGCAAAAACAATGGCCCAGATTTTATATGGTGCAGAGGTTTGGGGTACCTCAAAGGTCTCCGGTCTGGAACCCCCACAGAATTATTTTTTAAGAGTTCTTTTAGGTTTACCCAAAGACATGGCAATCTGCCATGGTCAGGTTGGAAACTCGCATGTTGAGCATAGAGAGCCAAATAGATAAAAGAATTCTCTGTTACTGGTTTAGAGTTCAACAGATGGACAACACTAGGCTACCAAAAAAATGCCTGATTGAGCTCTCAAATGGATTACCCCTTTAAAACTGGGTACATCATGCTGCCCAACTGATGGGCAAATATGACCTCTCAGTGACTGAGATTAAAGAACTCCCCTTATATTCACAGAAAAATATTTTTAAACGAACCATAAGGGCAGTGGCAACTAAAAACGATCTAAACTCTATGTACCCAGTTTCTAAACTCTATGTGCACATCACTTCCGGGTTAGCGCCTCCGGCAATGGCGGATTTCCTCTGACCAGGAGGAATCCGCTTCGTGAGAACTAGGGTCTGGACCGCCGCGGCGAGGCGGAGACCCACTAAAAACCACAGGCGGGAGAAGCCTGTGGACGTGGGATTCGGCTGGCACCTTTTGCGCCTCCCCTCCTCGCGGGAAACCCGGCTTCGGGGATCCGGAGCGACGTGGGAGTGAATGGTGCGGTGCTTCGAATCGACTGCTCTTTTCACGGAGTGAAGCCGCATTGCTGTTGCCGGAGAGCGCTGACTTTTCCTGTGGACAATTGGATTTTAAACAACTGCCCGTGAGTAGAACGGAAAATTGGATTAAGAAACTTTTAATTTGGCAATCGAAGCGGGAAGGTCTAAACAGGAAGTCCGCCTTCCGCTTTTGTAAATAGATTGAAGCAAAGACATTGCAAGCTAGAGTCTGGAAAGTCGTTTGTAAAGGACTAAATTTCCATCAGCTAAAATCACTAAACCCCCCTTGGAAGCAGGAGAAGAGGGGGGAATCTTTTTAGACTGTTTAAACCTGCAGAAGAGAGAGTAAAGAAAGATAAATTTCCACCGTCTTGATCCTGGGAGCGGGCTGTCAGAGACAGACACTTTGGGGAAGTTCATTGACTGTGGATAAAACATTTTTGACAGATAGTTAAAAAAGAGAAACATATTGATTCCAATGTTCCCTTTTGTACTTAAAAGGAACAAAATATCTGGAAAACGAAAGGAACTTTGTTGCTAAATCTGCTTTTAAAAAGACGGATACAAATAGAAATTGTTTCCTCTAGAGGGAGCTTGTGAAACTGTTGCTGGAGTCGGTCTGGGGAACTCTACAGCTGTAGAGATAAAAGATCGTGGGAATTAGACACCGACCTTGAACAAGAATGTGCCCAGAAGAAGCTTTAGTGCTTGCTTTTTGCAAGACAAGTGCTTTACTGGAACAGCTACATGAGAAGATGGATTTGATGACTGTTGCAGTTGGAAATTTTGGACAAACAGTGAATACTTATATAGAAACCACTCAGGAATCAATCCAGGAATGTGCTTTGACAGAGCAAGTGGTGAAGAAGATAAAGGAGGAGGTAGTTGCTGAACCTCAAGTATCAGAAATCGAGAGAGCTGCGGCCTCGCAGGAACATAAGATGCTGTTTTTGACGATTGAACCTGGAGAGGGTCAGATTTGGAGAGATGGAGTACTGTTTGGTCTGGAGATGGGAGGTTGGATGGATCCCCCTATGCAGGGATGTTTTGACTTTTCGGATCTGGCTTTGGGCCAGGGGGAGTTTGGAGTTGTGGGGGCCCTTAACCTTGGAGGGACTTTGAAACATGCCTTCAAATATCTTTTGGATTTCAGTGTCGACTATGGAGAATGGGCTGACTTGTCGAGAAGGGATAAAGATATTGTCAAGTTGGAGTCTCCCCGAGAGAAAGGAAGGAAATCAAGAATAAGATCAGCAGAAGATAAAGTAAAGTGCAGGTATAAACATGAAGAAGACCTGCAGAAGGGACATGGAAAAGACTTAAGAGCCTCGGATAGAAGGTCACCAGGTTGATGGACTAGATGGATGGGACAGAAAGGACTGACAAAACCCGAGACCAGGAAGAAGAGACGACGGATGAAGATTGGAAGAAAGTTTTAAAAATCCATTTAGAAAATCATTGTAAAATTAATGAGTATTAGAAAAACGTTGGAATGAAACTTTTTGGCTTTAGTAGAAATGTTAAAAAGAATTATGTATAAATATGTTTTGTTAAAAAGAATTAGGTATAAATAAGATTTAAGTTTTAAGCTTTAAGGTTTTTTATGGTAAGATAAGGTTAAAATAGATTAAGGTAATTTAATGACAGAATATTGTGAAAGATGGAAAGGATTTGCTGAGATAATTAATAACTAGAATACAAAAAAGGGAGGTGTGAGGAGGTCGATGAAACAAGTTAATGAAAGATAAAGACTTGGGAATATTGGATTTGTTTTTAAATTTTTTGTTTATTTATTTATTTTTGATTCTGATGTATTGTGTGTTTTGTGGTTTTTTTTTTGACCGTTGCTTTTATTGACTTATATTGTTTAATCTCTCTTTTTGTCTACCTTTCTTCCTTTTCTTTTTTCTTGTTTTTTCTTTTTTCTTTATGTAATTTTAAATTCTCAATAAATATCATTTTTTAAAAAATAAACTCTATGTGCACATCTACATGCGCCCCATTGTATTTTAAACTTAGAGAGGTCAATGAACACATATCTTATTTTAATGAATTGACTTCTGCACAGCTTTGAAAAGCTTTTACAGAGCTACAACTAAATACAATAAGCTCTGCTTATAGAGACGGGAGACACAGAGGCATACCAAAAGAACAAACGTGTTTGCATTAGGGGATGTTCTGAAGTAGAGGACCTTATGCATTATATCTTGCACTGTCCGTTATATAATGATGCAAGGAATTTTTGGTACCTATAATGACAGGGTCCCCTGGCCAGAACCCCCTTGACATGATATTATATCTCCTTGCAGACACAGATAAGTATGTGACCTGGCGGGTGGCACTTTTTTCAACTGCTGTTAGGAAAATTAGAGCAAATTATATAGCCAAGGTAGCCATTAACTGTAAAGGTGATGAATTTATTTGATCCCATCTATCTACCTCAGGCTATGCTCTATCTTTGTCACCACACTCTGAGTATAAATTGCACACTGTATTAATTGATATTGTTTTTAACATTAGTGACCATGTAATGATTTTAGCTTATGAATTTTATTGTTTAATGTTTTTATTTGTACATTGGGGTATTTTTATAGCTTTGTTTAGAGTACGTAATGTTTTAATAATATAAATGTTTTAAGTCTTTTTTTTTATCAATTCAGTATATTTTCTTTTAATTGTCAAATAATTCTGTGTACATTGCGGCAGCCTTTGGCTATGTGCAATAAAACTGACTGAGACTGAGACCTGGTTTCCTGGAACAAATGACCTGTTAGGATATTTCCGTTCCACCTTAAAAGGGAGCAGGCTTTGTGAGTCACAGAGTCTGCGTATTTCCTGTTCACAGGATGTTTCTGTTGTGTCTATGCTTTCGTTTCTCTCTGTGTGTGTCAGAGACACTGAAGCAGGCAGTCATGTTTTCTTTGTTCTGATCAACGCTGAATAAACTTGTAAATAATACTCTCCTGCGTGCATCTTTCACTGTGCATTATCTGCTGATAGAGCGTGCACCAGTTCTGGAATGTGGCAGGCTATTTCTGGAGCTCGTGTCGCTAATTGCTGATGCTGCGTGTCTACGGGAGATCGATGGACATCTGGAGGCGGCTTGGGGGCCATGATGGACTTTGTCTCCCTGGCAGTATCCCAACATGACCGTGGCGCGTTGGCACAGCCTGGGGGTTCGGCCACGGCAAAGTCCGGGTGCAGCCGGTCGAGCGGGGACCTGAGGCGGCAGCCCATAAGCAGTTTGGCAGGACTCCGCCCTGTGGGGTGATGTGTTGCACGAACAAGTATTCGGCGACCCGCTCGTGCCAGTCTCCCCGGTCCAGGCGCCCCAGTGCCTCTTTTGCCGAGCGCACCATTCTCTCCGCTTGCCCGTTGCTGGATGGATGAAATGGTGCCGTTAGGGAATGGCGGATGCCCAGTCCCAAAAGGTACCGCTCAAAAGTGCCTGATGTGAATTGCGGTCCATTGTCGGAGACAAGGACATCAGGACACCCATGGGTCGCAAAAAGGCCTCGCAGCACCCGGATGACGGCCTCGGTAGTGGTGGAGGACATCAGGGCCACCTCCAGCCATTTGGAATAGGCTTCCACCACTACCATAAAGGTCCGGCCATGAAAGGGGCCAGATCGATGTGCACCCTCGACCAGGGTGTCTTTGGCGTCTCCCAGGTGTGTCCCTTAGCTGCCGGTGGCCCAGGCCTCGATTCTTGGCACGCTTGACAGGCGGAAACCCAGGCAGTGATGGCATCGTCCATGTTAGGCCACCAGACGTAACACCGAGCCAACGCCTTCATTTTGATGATTCCCGGGTGGCCAACGTGCAGTCTCCAGGACACGTTGACGGAGTCTTTGAGGAATCATGACGCGGTCTCCCCACAGCAGACAGCCGCGATGAGCCGAGAGTTCATGTTGTCTGGTTGCGAACAGCTGGAACTCCGATGCAAACGGCCCTTGTGGCCACCCCCTCCACACCCAGTTGAGCACATGGCTGATGGTGCGATCCTGGGCAGATGCGGAGGCCACAGTGGCAGCCGATACAGGCGCTGCCGGAAGATCCTCAATTAGGAGGAGCGATGAAGCAGGAGCCGGGTCTTCCACAAAAGCTGGAAGAGGGCAATGGCTGAGGGCGTTGGCATGGCCCAGTGATTTCCCCAGGCGATGGACGAGCCGGTAGTGGTAGACAGCCAGAAAAACAGTCCATCGCAGCATGCGTTGAAGGCCGCCGTCTCCCGATGACCCCAGGACCAAGGCGTCTTTGTGCTGAGGAGTCGGTGAAGAGGCTCAGCCACCGTGGCTTTGTGGGGCAGGAACATGTTATAAAAGTTCAGCAGTCCCAGGAACGCCTGCAACTCCGTCTTGTTCTTTGGGATGGGGGCCTGCTGGATAGCACAGATCTTGGATGTGGTCGGGTGAAGGCCGGAGGCATCAATAAGATAGCCCGGGAACTCCACCTGTGGAACGGCGATCTGGCACTTCTCCCTCTTTACCTTGAGCCCGGCCTCCTGGAACCTGGTCAGCACGGTACGGAGGCACTCGAACAGCTGCTGGTGTGAGTCTGCGGACACCAAGACATCATCAAAATATGGTACCACGCCCGGAAGCCCTTGCAGGAGATGCTCCATAAGGCTTTGGAAGATGCCAGGAGCCACACTCACCCCGAACTGCAAACGGCGGCAACGGAATGCCCCTCGGTGGGTGATGATCGTCTGGGCTTCAGCAGTGGCATCATTGACGGGGAGTTGTTGATAGGCTTGGGCAAGGTCCAGCTTAGCAAAGACCTTACCCTCACCCAAGGAATGCAGCAGGTGTTGAACAACAGGAACCAGGTAAGCGTGCTGCTGAAGTGCCTTGTTGATCGTGCACTTGTAGTCGGTGCAGATTCTCACCGACCCGTCTGGCTTGACAGGCATGACGATGGGGGTTTCCCACTTGGCGTGGTCAACCGGCTCCAAAACTCCTTGGGCGATCAGCTTGTCCAGTTGTTCGTCCACCTTAGCCTTGAGAGCAAAGGGAACCCGGCATGGCTTTAGCTTGATGGGGGTGACTTGTGGATCAAGGCTAAAGGAGATGGGCATACCTGTATATTGCCCTAAAGTGCCGTCAAAAGCCTCGGCAAAGTCTTTGACCAGACCCTCAGTCTCTGCGTTAGAGATGCAGTTGATGCCGGTGACTTCCAGGCCGAGGGCATCAAACCAGTCTAGCCCTAGGAGGCTTGGCCGCTGACCTTTGATCACCACCAGTCGGAGCAGGCCCGAAAAATCCTTGAAGGTGATCCGGAACCGGCCAACGCCTACCACAGGAATGTCGTTTCCCTGGTAGTCTCTCAGGTGTACGCGGTGAGAGTCGAGTTGCCTTTTGGACACTCTGGGTACCAGTCTTTTGATGGTGCTCCAAGACACGATGGACAGGGCAGACCCGGTGTCAATCTCCATGTCACATGGAGCTCCTTCAATGAGCACCGTGACGTTCAGCTTGCATCGCGTAGGCGAGTCGGTTTGGCCAATCGTGGTTCCAGACGAGCAGCGGCAGTTGGTGAGAGCGAAACAGCTTTCCTTGGCGGACTGGAGTGAAGACTTGGACTTGTGAGTCGGTGAGGGGGGGTGCTGGACGGAGCCGATCGGCAGACCTTAGTGATGTGGCCCCTTCTGGAACACTACCGACAGATGGCATCTCTGAATCGACACTTGGCACGGGAATGGTTGCCTCTGCAACCGGCACATTCCGATTGGCCCTTGGACTTCTTTTGGAACTTCCTGCACTCCCGCTTTGTCTGGTGCACGTCATCGTCTTCACTGGAGGATGCCTCATCACTGCTGGCCTCTTCATGATGCACTGGAACTGGCTTCCTAGCAAGACGCGGGCTGCTGGCCTTGTGGATCTCCTGGGCGGAGCGTTCGGCAGCTTCCAAGGCCACGGCCTCCTCAATGGCTTTCTGCAGCGTGAGGTCTGGCTTGGCGAGGAGACGCCGTTGCAGACGGATGTCCCGGACCCCGCAGACGTTTCGATCCATCAGGACATCGTCTAAGTCTCGGAACTCGCAATGCATTGCAACCTGTCGGAGGGCGGTGGTGTAGTTGTTGATTGACTCCCCCTCTGCCTGGTTCCGGTGGTAGAATGCATGGTGGGCAGCAATCTTGGACGGCTTTGGTGCGTAGTGGTTGTGGAGCTTCTCTTGAATCGTGTCCCATGGTGTTGCCTGGACTGCTTCAGGCGCAACCAATGCTTGGGCTGTCTCAAACACCTCAGGCCCACAGAGGCTGAGGAATAGGCCCCGCTTCTGCTCCTTTGATACTTCTGTTAGTTCGTTGGCTTGGAGGTAGCAGTCGAACCGAGCGAGGTAGGAGTCCCATGATTCAGAGGCTGGCGCAAACGGCAGTAGAGGCACAAGTGAAGCCATGATTCCGATGCCGGCGAGAAGGGCGATGGATGGAACACCGTGCTCTAGCCAGAACAATCAGCTCTGAATTGGTTCTGTTCAGTGATTTCGCTCAGTGATTCAGCTCAGTGATTCAGCTCAGTTCAGAGGGTGGCCGCATCTGGCTGTGCTCTGATGTCCATCGATCCCATCCTCGTCGCCAGTGTTAAGTTGTGGGTGAACATATCAGACGACACAGCAATTCTTCAAACAGCTCTTGTTTATTCCGAGGCCAGAACTGAACTGAAGAGCTCAGTCAGCCTGCTTATATAGAGCTCCAGAACAACGTAACTGTACCAACTTTCTAAAACTATCCAATCACTGAACGTCACTTTCGAGCCTTCATTTGCATAACTATCTACAGTATCCCCCTGCTGGCCCAGGGTGAGAACCCCAGTACTTAATAATGTCTCTTTCAGAACAGTGGCTATGCATTCAAAAAGGAAAAAGAGCTTGGCTTAGCATTCCCTGTGCCCACTGGTCCCAGCATTATGCTTCCGATGCTGTTCTAAATAGATACTGTGACACTTCTACCAAATTTCAGTTGTGGCAACTGAAGGCACCTCGTCTTCATAATCCTGCTGATCAGCTCAGACTGAATATACCAGGGAAGATTCTGGAGCAGATCATTAAGCAAACAGTCTGTGAACACCTAGAAAGGAATGCTGTGATCACCAATAGTCAGCATGGATTTCTGAAAAATAAGTCATGTCAGACTAACCTGATCTCGTTTTTTGACAGAATTACAAGCCTGGTAGATGAAGGGAACGCAGTGGATGTAGCCTACCTTGATTTCAGCAAGGCATTTGACAAGGTGCCCCATGATATTCTTGTAAAGAAGCTGGTAAAATGCAGTCTTGACTATGCTACCACTCGGTGGATTTGTAACTGGCTGACTGACCGAACCCAAAGGATGCTCATCAATGGTTCCTCTTCATCCTGGAGAAGAGTGACTAGTGGGGTGCCACAGGGTTCTGTCTTGGGCCCGGTCTTATTCAACATCTTTATCAATGACTTGGATGATGGACTCAAGGGCATCCTGATCAAATTTGCAGATGACACCAAACTGGGAGGGGTGGCTAACACCCCAGAGGACAGGATCACACTTCAAAATGACCTTGACAGATTAGAGAACTGGGCCAAAACAAACAAGATGAATTTTAACAGGGAGAAATGTAAAGTATTGCACTTGGGCAAAAAAATTGAGAAGCACAAATACAAGATGGGTGACACCTGGCTTGAGAGCAGTACATGTGAAAAGGGTCTAGGCGTCTTGGTTGACCACAAACTTGACATGAGCCAACAGTGTGACGCGGCAGCTAAAAAAGGCAATGCAATTCTGGGCTGCATCAATAGGAGTATAGCATCTAGATCAAGGGAAGTAATAGTGCCACTGTATTCTGCTCTGGTCAGACCTCACCTGGAGTACTGTGTCCAGTTCTGGGCACCACAGTTCAAGAAGGACACTGACAAACTGGAATGTGTCCAGAGGAGGGCAACCAAAATGGTCAAAGGCCTGGAAACGATGCCTTATGAGGAACGGCTAAGGGAGCTGGGCATGTTTAGCCTGGAGAAGAGGAGGTTAAGGGGTGATATGATAGCCATGTTCAAATATATAAAAGGATGTCACATAGAGGAGGGAGAAAGGTTGTTTTCTGCTGCTCCAGAGAAGCGGACACGGAGCAATGGATCCAAACTACAAGAAAGAAGATTCCACCTAAACATTAGGAAGAACTTCCTGACAGTAAGAGCTGTTCGACAGTGGAATTTGCTGCCAAGGAGTGTGGTGGAGTCTCCTTCTCTGGAGGTCTTTAAGCGGAGGCTTGACAACCATATGTCAGGAGTGCTCTGATGGTGTTTCCTGCTTGGCAGGGGGTTGGACTCGATGGCCCTTGTGGTCTCTTCCAACTCTATGATTCTATGATTCTATGATTCTATGATTCTATGATTCTATGATTCTATGATTCTATGAATGCTTTACAATCAGGCACAAGGAGAAATCCATCTTGCGAGCTCCACTGTCTCTAAGTATGCAATGGCTGAACATCAGCATAATTGTTTTTGAATGTAGACGCTTACTAATTGGAACATTATACTATTATTCAGTGAAAAGAGAGTGAATTAATGTTACCTCTGTGCATCACCCTGCGGGAGTGCATGTGTTCAACTGCACTGCACAACTGCACAAAATATTTCCAAACTGTCCTTTCTAGGATTAGCCGCTTCTGCTTTTTAAAATACTGTGAAGGGAAAACAAACAAAAAGATGAACAAGACAGCACTGAATCTCAATCTCTCTCTCTCTCCCTCCTTCAGTCATGGCTAATGTGTTCATCAGCTGCCACCTTACTGTTGTCCTCAAGACCATCAGGCAAAGTAGTTCGGCCTCTGCTTCCCATTTAACTCCTTGCCTATGTATAGAAACTTCAATGCAATTCACTAATTAACAGCATTATGAAAAATATGCTTAAATAGGTTTGACATTTTTGAATGGACACCAATTATAATCAGCATTAATCTCATTAATTACCTTGCAGAACATATTTAATGCCTCAAAACAACAAATGTGTGGAGTGCTTTGCCTTAAGAAACAAAAGGATTTGTTAGGGGTGTGTTGCTTTTTTTTTGGTTTTGTTTTTTTAAAACCCAGCATCTTGAAGGTGTTTATCAGAAGCATCATTATAAAAGCATTCTCCCTTTAGTAAACAAGCTACTGAATGCTCCTCTAATATCAGGTATGGCAGCACTTTTGCAACAGTTTGCACATGGATAAAACGCCCCAGAAAGTTGGGATGCCCAAAAACAGACAAGATGCCAGATTACATTAGCTGCTAGTCCTGTATTGCAGGGGGTCAGACTAGATGACCTTTGGGATACCTTCTAACTCTAGAATTTTGTGATTCCATACTTGTTGCATACTACTGAATGAAACAAATAGACTACAGTAACTAAGGCTGTGAGTGTTCATAAAATGCTGCCTTACTTTTTTTTCAAATACTTTTTATTGCTTTTTTGTAACAACAACAAATAAAACAAATACTCTTACATTCAAAAATGTATATGTCTTCTTATTTACCCTGCGTCTTATTGTGCCCAGATTTCCTTCCATCCCTTCAACGGTTTTCATGTCTCAAATCTTTTCTTACAGTTTCTTATTTACACTCCATCCACATCAGAAGATTTACATTAATCCTGCTACAGTTTTTAAATTCTTACAATTACTCCGTATATATTCAACAAATTTACTCCAATCCTTTTTGAACTTTGCTTCTTTTTGGTTCCGAATCTTTTAAGCCAATTTTGCCAATTCTATGTATTCAAACATTTTTGTCTGATACTCCATTAAAGTTGGGATTTCTTGGGATTTCCATTTCTGAGCCACTAAGATTCTAGCGGCGGTTGTTGTGTACATGAATAGTTTGTAATCTTCCTTTTTTAATTCATCCCCTGTTATCCCTAGCAAAAATGCATCTGGTTTCTTTGGGAAAGTGTATTTAAATAGTTTTTTCATTGCGTTATATATCATGTCCCAATATTTTTTCATTTTTTCACACGTCCACCACATGTGAAAAAAATCACTGTCTTTTGTTTTACATTTCCAACACATTTTATTACTTACTCTATACATTTTTGCTAGTTTAACCAGGGTGATATACCAGTGGTACATCATTTTCATTAAATTTTCTTTTAGAGTGGAGCACACCGTGAACCTCAAACCTTCTGTCCATAGTTTTACCCAATCATCATAATCAATATTATAACCAAAATCAACTGCCCATTTTATCATAACTTCCTTTGTCAGTTCGTCTTTTGTATTCCATTCTGACAAATATTCATACATTTTTGATAGAAGTTTTGTCCTACCCTCTATAATTTCAATTTGATATCTTAATTTTTTTCCACTAAATCCTAATTTCTTATCCTCTTTGAGTATTTTGTTTACTTGGTTGTATTGTAACCATCCCGTGAAGGCGTTCACTATGTGATTATAGGGTTTTAACTTCCATCCTTTATCAGTCTTCATTAATATTTCTTCATAGGTTGCTCTCCTCCCTTCCATATTCAATTTTTTCACTGTTAGCACTTCTGCCGGGATAACCACCATGGTGTATGTCTCTCTAATAGGTTCTTGTTTCTATCCCATACCTCGTATAGGGCACCCCTAATAATGTGGTTTACAAATCCTTTATGTATCTTTACCTTGTTATACCACAAATAGGAGTGCCACCCATATCTATTGTTATGCCCCTCTAGATCCAGCAAATCTGTATTTTTCAATACTATCCATTCTTTCACCCAACACAGACAGGAGGCTTCATAATAAAGTTTTAAATTTGGCACAGGGAATCCTCCTCTCTCTTTCTTGTCAGTTAGTAGTTGAAATTTTATCCTGGGCCTCTTCCCTTGCCATATGAATCTTGATAATACTTTTTGCCAGTCCCAAAATTGTGATAAACCTTTAATAATTAGAATCGTTTGAAATAAGAATAACATATTTGGTAATATGTTCATATTGATCGCCACCATTCTGCCACTCCAGGATAATTTTAGACTATTCCAAATATCTAAATCTCTTTTGATTTCCTCTCCATATCGGTACATAGTTGTCATTAAACAAATTAATATTTTTAGTCGTTAACCAGATTCCCAAATACTTCACTTTCTTCATCACTTTGATTCTGCACTTTTGTTCCAACAGTTCTTTCTCCTTTCTATCCATATTTTTAACCACCAATTTTGTCTTTGTTTTGTTTAATTTAAATCCTGATAATCTGCCGAATCCTTCCATTTCCTCCATTGCTTTCATAACACTTATTTGTGGTTCCTCTAAGGTTAGTACTAAATCATCGGCATAAGCCTTTAGTTTGAATTCTTTTACTCCAATTTTTATACCCCTTATTTCTGATGTCTTTCTCAGCGAGTTTGTTAAGACCTCCAATACTATTATGAACAGTAATGGGGATAAAGGGCACCCCTGTCTTGTGGCCTTGGTTATATCAAATGACTCTGTTAAGACATTATTTACAATTAATTTAGCTCTCTGTTTGGAATAGATTGCATCTATACCTTTCATGAAGGCTCCCTCTACTCCCATTAATCCCATACTTTTCTTCAAAAATTGCCATGACACATTATCAAAAGCTTTCTCTGCGTCGATAAACATTAATGCCGCTGGTTTGTCATTTCTAACCTCTAAGTATTCTATTACATTTACAATGTGTCTTACATTATCTTTTAGCTGACGTTCGGGTAAGAACCCCACTTGATCTTTGTGAATTACCTCCTTTAGAATTTGCTTTAATCTATTTGCTAGTATGTCTGAAAGTAACTTATAATCATTATTCAGCAAATATATTGGTCTGTAGTTCTTAACATTTAAAGGGTCAGCCTCCTGTTTTGGGATTGGTGTTATGTATGCCTCTTTCCAAGTATTCAGGATATTTCCTCCTTGTAAGATATTGTTCATTACCTCACAGAGAACTGGAGTCAGCTATCCACACAGAGTTTATAATATTTAGTAGAGAGTCCATCAGGTCCTGGGGCTTTACCTAATTTCATTCTTTTAATTGCATTTTGAATTTCTTGTATTGTTATTGGGTTATTTAGTTGTTCTCTGTCTTCAGCAGATATTTGTTTTCCTTTATGCTCTTCCAAATATTTTTTCACTTTTCTTATATCATCTTTCTCTTTCCTGTACAATTCTGTGTAAAACCCCTGAAATGCTTTCCTTATCTCTTTCGGGTCTTCCGTTTGATCTTCTCCTATCCTTATTTTATTTATTATGTTCTGGTTTTGTCTTTTCCTTAGTTGCCACGTGAGTAATTTCCCTGTTTGGTTGGCCGACTCAAAATATTTTGTTCTCATAAATTTTATCTTCCATTCAACTTCTTCATTCACCAGTAAGGAGAATTGAGTTTGTAACATTTTAATTATTTGTTTTATTTGTTCGTCTTTTGGTTTTAATGTTAATTTTCTCTCGTTTTCTGCAAGATGGGTCAGAATTTCTTCTTTCTTCTTCTCTCTCATCTTTTTCTTATAACTATTTTGCTGTATCAGGAAGCCTCGCATAACTGCTTTACTCGCATCCCATACTATATCTAATCTCGTTTCCTTATGTAGATTCCATTTAAAGTATTCTTTTAAGACCTCATTTGCTTTTTCCACTACTTCTTGATTCTCGAACAGATTTTTGTTCATTTTCCACCTAAAAGAGTTTTGTTCTTTACTCCTTAATTGCACCATCACAGGGTTATGATCTGATAGTGTTCGTGGTGTGATCTCGCTTCTCAGTACTCTTGGTGCCAGTTCTTTTGATGTTCACATATAGTCAATTCTTCCCAAACTTTGGTGTGGCTTGGAGAAGAAAGTGTATTGTTTTGTGGTTGGGTGTTTCAGCCTCCAGATGTCTATTAGGTCAAAATTATCAACTAAGTCAAAAAACGTCCTTGGGAGTTTTCCCTGTTTGGAATTTTTCTTTTTTGCTGATCTATCCATTTTCGGCGTCACCACTCCGTTACAGTCCCCCATTAATATTATTTTCTGGTCTACAGTTTCTATCAATCTTTCTTCCAACCTCTTATAAAAATCTGCCTTATTTACATTAGGCGCGTAAATTCCCACCACTATCGGTTTCTCCCCCTGGAATGTAATTTGCACCACAATTATTCTCCCCTCCTCATCTTTCAAGATTAATTTAGGTTCCAATTTCTCTTTGATATACATTACCACATCTCTTTTCTTATTAACATCCAAGGATATAAACTCCATAACCAACCTCTTATTTTTCAAAATATGTCTATGTTTCTTTACAACGTGAGTTTATTGCAAACAAATCAGGTCTAAATGTCTTCTTTTCAAAACATTTTCCACTTTATTTCTCTTAGATTTCTCATTTAGCCCATTTACATTCCAAGTTAACAATTTCAAATTCATAATGAAAAACACTCAAACTCAAACTTAAACTTTAGATTTGATTTGGGTGGTTTTTATCCTCTAAGATCTCTTCCTCTTCTGCTACTTCTTCTTCCTCATCTTCTATTTCTTCCTCTTCCCCTTCCTCCTTTTCTTCCTCCTCTTCTTTGTTTCTTTCCTTTTTCTTCTTTTTTCTCTCTACTTCTAAATCATACTCCGCTCCGGCGGGTCTGTGGTCAATTCTGTTTCCCTTCAGCTTTCCTAGCTCCTTCTCATATCTTCTAGTAAACTTCTTCACCTCCTGAATATCAGTTAGTCTGAATCTTTTGTCCTTATAAAAGAAGGAAATTCCCTCCGGGAATTCCCATCTATGTTGTATCCCCTTCTTCTTCAGCAGGTTCACCAGTTGTTTCTATCCGTCCCTTTTTCGTAGGAATCTAGTGGGGATCTCTTTAAATATGATAATTGGCCTTCTGTCAATTATCAATTTGTTTTGATAACTCATTCTCAAAATTGCATTTCTCATATCGAGGAATTAAAGATCATCAGCACATTTCCTGGTAATTTTTTTGATTTTGCCTTTAAAGATCTTACTTTAATTCTAAATACATTCTCCACTTTATATTCAGTTTCTTCTTCTTTCATATCCAACCATCTTGCCAATTCCTTAATCATTTTTATTTTTATATTTTCATGCATCTCCTCTCCTACTCCCCTAAATTTCAGATTCATCTGCTTCTGACACATCTCTAATTGAAGGGAAGTTCTCTTTCTGCACATAACTGTGGCATTATGGGAAGTCCTGCTTCTTTTCTCTGGCATTATGGGAAGTCTCACTTCTAAGCTTTTCTCTGCTTCTGTACATACTGTACAACCTGTTCTAAATACCAAGACATTCCCTCATTTCCCTAGGATGCTCAGTTCATCTTAAGTTCATGAAAACACTCTGACCTGTTCTTAATGCATAGCTGACAACATCTACGGAACTCGATTATTATATTTTTTCATGTTATGATCAATCATTAGTAATTGTTTTAGTCATGCTATATCAATCATTAGTTATAATTTAATTAGGAGGTTTCATGCCTGTCTAGTTCTGTGCTCCCTTTCCCAGCCTTTAATCTATTGGTGATTAATGCCTATACGTAACCCTTGCTTTGTACTTGTGTTAACCAATCAGCAACAAGTTGCTTTGTGTTTGTATCAACCAATCAGCAACGAGCGCACCTGTGGCAATGTTTGTAATATTCAATAAAAGAGAGTTCTCGGGGCTTGCTCCAGAGATGCCTCTCACATGACACCTGCTACTCATCTGTTGTGATTTCATTCCAACATCTAATAGGGCCAAATTGTCCCAGACCTGCTCCTGGGTTTTATTAAAATCTGTTACTTCATCTTTGATTCGGTCCATCTCTTTCTTATTTTCCTTAACTTCTTTCTGAATTCTTTTCGTTGACTCTTCAACTGTCTTTGTTCTAATTGTGAGATCTTTAATTTTAATTGAGAGCTCCCCTACTACTCCCTCTATTTTCTTATCCAGTGTTTCTTGTACCTCTCCTAATTTTTTCTCCACATGTTGTTCATTTTGTTTAAATTTTTCCTTTATTTTTAACCACAAAATATCCAAATCCTTGATCTCTTCCTGTCTGGAAATTTTCCTTTCTCTTGGTGTCCCCCCAATTTTTTCCCAATTTTTCCCTGCCATTTTAGATTAATTACTGCAGTAAAATATTCTGTCCACTTGGGGGGGGTATATAATTCAAACTGTGATTAGGTCCAAAAGAGCCAACAGAGTTGAGATAAGCAGTATAAAATATAATCCTTACTTGCAATTTCACTCTAGGTATCACCCTCAGTTTTCTCCCACCCCCCACAATGACTTTCACTTTTTATCCCTTTTTGTTCCTAATTCAGGTTACACCAGTGTCAATAGTACATAACTGCTTAAAATATTAGTCCAACTGTAAGTCCATCAGGGGTCCTCCTCTTCTGCTCTTCTGCAACTTGTCAACTCAGTCCTTTGATGAAGTTTCCGCCAGTCTTCAGCCACTTGTTGGCCTAATCCACCAGAGTGTAAATACAGGAAGCACTTTTTATTCTTGTATCCCAATTCAGTCTTTATTTCTAGCCACTTGCTGGCTTAATCCACAAGGAGATGTAGACTTATCAGATGCTAGGGAACAGACCCTCCCTTTACTAAAAACTCAGCTTTTTCTAGCCTCTTGCTTCCTTAATCCACAAAAAATGTGCAGGAAGGGGACTGTATCAAACAGCCAAATTTCAGGAGGGAAGTGGGATTGTTTTTTCCTGGGGGAAATCCCAGCGAATGGTAGCAGCACAGCCTTTGAAGTGCTTATGGCTGTGGCAAAAAATGAGACTGCCAAGTCTGTTTCTTCTTCACCTAAGGTTCAATCTCTTTCTCCCCTTTTGCCGGTCTAATATATCAAAGAAGGGATAAGTAATAAACTCTCTTTCTCTTTCCCCAGACTCAGTCTTTTACCGGCAAGGACGTAACAAAAAACCAAGGATGCAACCTTAAAACCTCCACAGGCAGATGGTTTTAGTCAAAGATAAACGATGTTGTAAAAGGGTTTATTGCAGTCTCTGAAGACGTTATGTGTTCTCTCCCCCCCCCCTTTCTGCTTCAAGCCTTTTCAGACCAGATTTTACTCTTTAAACTGGAGTGTTGACTAGTTACTTTCCCTCCACCTCAAAAATATTCCCATGAAAGGGTTACAAAGTCCTTTTTAACTCTTCTCTAATAGCTTGTTTCAGAATGTCTTTTGCCTCAGTACATTGTTTCTGAGGGTTTTCCCTTTTGTACTCACTCAGCAGGAACTTTCACTTCCTTCTTTGTTCTTGTGGCTTTGATCTCTGCGCCATTTTCTCACCACTGCCGGGACAGACTCCCTTTTTACATCCCTCAGCATCCAAATTTTCTTTACTTGTATTCCAGTTTTCTCAGGATAAATATATCCTGTAGGCGTTTTAAATTCTTTTCTTATTCCTTTGGAAGTTTGCTGCTTTCATCTGAAGCTTGAGACAGCACAGCAGGGAGCTGGTAGGTGCCTTCCCTTTCGTGTCTGCCACTCTATCCCATCCTCGGGTCTTAAATAAAAAACCCAGAGAGCAGGAGAGCATGCTTTAACGCCGCTGGGTGCCCCCGTTCCTCAAGGAAACACCCTTGAGGTTTTGAGGTCCTCAGAGTCCTTGCAGAGCCTCTAAAAGCTCTCCCAGCTGTTCGGAATCCCCAGAGGGGCTTTTCCGCACTTCTTTGGTGGCTGCAACTAAACAGGAAGTCCATAAAATGCTGCATTACAATGCTGTGGCTCAGGACCGCAATACCTCTAGGATGACCTCTCCCCATATGAACCTACCTGGATCCTGTGGTCATCATCTGAGGCCCTTCTTCATGTCCCCCTCAATGAGGGGTCCAGAGGATGGCAACATGAGAACAGACCTGTTCTGCGGAGGCTTCCCATTTGCAGAATGCTCTCCCCAAGGAGGCTTGCCTGGCGTCTTGTCTTCTCTGCTTATTTTTAGGCACCAGGCAACTCACCTGTCCAGCTGAGTTACTGAAGACACCACGTCGACACAGACAAGCCATTTTATGCTGCGTGTGAACTCTGCTATTAGCCGGCAACTGAGAAGAGTGGCAGCGCGCGGAGTGGAAGCGTGTGCGTGCCATTGAAGTTTGTCGGAGTGGCAATAAATCAAATTTATTGCAGGGCCGTTGCCACAGACTCAGTGGGTCAAAGGATTTACGACCCACAAACTTTAACAGGTTATGGGCGGCAGTAATGCGCTAATGGCTGAGTAACAAAAGCCCTGGGGGGGGGGGGGATGGCAGAGGTGCAGGGAAATTTTATGGCGGCTTTCCCAAAGCTGACGGGAAAGAACTGGGCAGACTGGTCCAAGAAAATGCAGGTTTTGTTAACTGCTAAAGGCCTTTGGACTTGCACACAGAACCCACCTATGCAGGCCCAGGATGGGGCCGCAGCTGGGGTTGTAGCTGCTGCAGCCGAGGAGCTGAGGAGGGACCAGAGAGCTGTTGCTTACTTGGTCATGGCCATAGATGAAGCCCAGATGGTTCACACTGACCACGCCACCTACGCTCATGAGGTCTGGGGGGCCCTGTAATGCGTGCATCAGCAGGACACGGCTGGGGCCCGGATTCACGTCACCAGACAGCTATTTGATTTACAGTTGCAACCCGGAGGCTGCGTCAAAGAGCACATTTCACAGATGCTGGCGTTGTTCAACCGTTTGAGGCAACTACAGATTCCCTTCACTGAACAGCAAAAAGTCTACATATTGCTGAGTTCTTTAGACTCTAGCTATCAGACTCTTTCTCTCACGTTGGAAGCTATTCCAGCTCAGGAGCTTAACCTTGAATATGTGTTGGGTCGACTGCAAGATGAGCAGGATAAAAGACTGAGAGAGAAAGGAGGGGCTGCGAAGGGGGGTTGCTTTGTACCCAGGAGTGGGAGTGCAGAAGAAGCTGGGAGCTCTGTGCAAGCCTTTGCAGCAAGGAGATGCTACACTTGCAACTCAGACCAACATCTGCAGAGAAATTGCCCCAGGGTCATCTCCAATAGCAACTGAGAGATCAAAGGCCGACCACGTCGTGGGAGGAGAGGCCTGGCAAGAGGGGGCAGAGGCGGAGAACCAGCAACACATCAAAAGGCTGCTATGTATGCTTTTGTTGGACAGACTGCAGCCAACTGCAAACAGTGTTGGATAATTGACAGTGGGACCAGCAGGCATCTAGCTCCACCTGGTGGCCAGTTGCAAGACTGCTGGCAGATTCCAGATGGGACAACAGTCACATTGGCTGATACAACCAAGAGAGCTATTTCAAAAGCTGGTGTTGTGTTTATGCCTTGTTTGAAAGCTGATATTGATATAAATTGATATAAATGTAATAAATAAGAAAATAATCAATAACCCAGAATCACAACGGCAGACGGAGCTCAAGTTCTGCTGATAATAATAAAGAGCCCATTATGCTATTTTCCACATTAAGCTCTCTTTTCTTATTATTCCTGCCCATGTTAAAATTCTTTTACACATATTAATGTTCTGTGAACTGTTCACTTTAATCCCTCCCTGACAGTGTGTCCTGAAATTATGAGCAGACAAATATTAGACGAGTGTGGTGTACTGATTAGAGGGGTCAGAGTGTTGGACCAGGGTTCAAATCCCAATTCAGCCACGAAGCTCCCTGGGTGACCTTGGGCCAGTCACTGTCCCTCAGCCAAGCCTACTTCACAGGGTATTTGTGAGGATAAAATGGGGATGAGAGAACCATGTACATCACTTTGAACAACTTAAGAGGAAAAGGTGGTATATAAAGAAATAAATTTAAGAAATGTAAAGGTAAGAAGCCCAGGTCCGAAATAAGCCATTGCCTGCCTGGGAAACACAGCACTGCCCAAAAGAAAAGAGAATGCTTCTATGCAAAGCACTTCGCCACACCAAAAGCTCTTTTAGATCACATCGTCTCAAAATCTTGGAATGGATTATATTAAGAAAACATTGTGCTAACATGAACCTTGGGACTTGCTTGGGTCACCGAAAGCCAACTCAAAACAGAGAAGTTGTACTGCACTGCATGGGCAGTGCTCTTAGTCTGCAGGGAAGACCAGCAGAACAGCAACATAATCAATACATGCCTCACTAGGATCAGAGCCTTAAGAAATTCTCTAGAAATTCTCACAGAATCAGACGTTCTAAACCCAAGTGGGATCTAAGAGCCTGTTCCAATATCATACATCCTTGATGAAGGGCTTTCCTTCCGGGAAATGGGAAAAAATAGTGCTAAAACAAGTGATGCAGCTTAAAAAGGTGATTTAGTAGTTTTCATTTACGTGTGCACACATCATTATTAATTTTTGAAGCACCAAATGGCTATCCTCCTTCACTGATGAAATAGGGATGGGATACTACATTAGTGGAACTGTCCTGGCTTTGCCCAAGCATAGTTATAAAAATATAAGCTGGAAAGCACCTCTATAACAAACTAGCCGAAATAATAATAATAATAATAATAATAAATAATTTTATTTACCCCACCCTCCCCAGCCAAGACCGGGCTCGGGGTGGCTAACACCAGGTATAAAAACAATTGATTAAAATACAACATTAAAATGCAGCCTCATTTCGGTAGAAACTCAAATCAAAAACTTTTGGGGGATGAAAATGTCAAATCTTCACTAAGGCCAACTATCCAGACAGGTCCTACGTGGGCCATAAAAAAGCCAGGGAAGTCCCCAAATAGGAGTTCCATCACAGAAGGAGAAAGGAAAGAGGGGAAGGGGATCAAGTTGATTCCAAGCCAAAGGCCAGGGGGAACAAAGGCCAGGCGCTCTGTCTTACAGGCCCTGCGGAAAGAAATCAGATCCCGCAGGGCCCTGGTCTCATGAGACAGAGCGTTCCACCAGGCCAGAGCCAGTGTTGAAAAGGCCCTGGCTCTGGTTGAGTCTAATCTGACTTCCTTAGGGCCCAGGACCTCTAGGGTGTTGCTATTTATGGACCTTAAGGTCCTCCGCGGGGCATAGCGGGGGAGGTCCCATAGGTACAAGGATAGATGATGAGGTTATTCTTGCAGAAGAGCAAGCAGAATTTAGGCAAGGCAGATCCTATTGGCAAAACCTATTTGGTGTTTCGCAACTTTCTGACTAGTTGCAGGACCTTAGCCAGACCTAGCAGAGTACACACAGAATCCATGGAAGCAATTGGCAACTTGGCTGCAGACAGGATAGACGAAGCAGGAACCAGGAACTTGTAGTTAGGTGTTTATTATATAAAGCGGACTATTTACAGGAACAGAACACGGATCTTTTGCTAGCTCTCTCTGACACGACTCACAACTCCTACACTCACTGACACACTGAACCACTGAACACCGAACTCTGCTGAACTTCGAACTAACACATTCCAGTTAGTAGGCCATTAATTATCACTCCCTTGAGAGAGCTTGATCAATCAGGGAGCTGTCTCCATGCCTCTGTTATCACCAGGCAGACTTACTCCTTCAGATTGCCTTCTGGCTGTCTGCCAAACCTTAATTGACTCTGTGTGAGTAGCTGCACATACACAGTTTCCCAACAGATCCACCCTAGATCACTGCTTTATCCTAGCACATCTCAGAGACAAGTATGCTAAGTAACCACATGGTGTGCTTTACGCAGCCTTCATCAATTTGAAAGCTGCATTTGACTCAATTTCATGAGTAAGACTCCGGAATAAGCTGAACTCCTCAAGTATAGACAAAAGACTACTGTACTTGATCAAATGCTTATATAAAGATACTGTGCTGAAAGTGCGCTGCTCCACAAATGGACAATTTACAGGATCTGTGCCAGCCACAAAGGAAGTCAAGCAAGGGTGTATCCTAGCCCCGGCACTGTTCAACTTATACATAAATGACATTGTCCAGTGTCTAACATCTCCAGAGTATCATGCCCCTAAATTGGCCACAAAACCCATCTTAATTCGATTATATGCAGATGATGCGGTTCTTCTATCCCAAACAAAAGTAGGCCTAAAAAGACTGAGGAGAGCATTTTCAGGATATTGCCAGAGAGAACAGCTGACCGTGAATTACAAGAAAACCAAAGTCATGGTTTTCTCAAGAAACTATAGATGGCGCATGGACAACCAGCTAATTGAACAGGTCAAAGTTTTCAAATATCTTGGCCTTATTTTCCAGTCTACAGTCTACAGAAATGTGCAAAAGAAAAAGCATCCCAAAGTGCCAATATTCTGACACACTTCTTCTACACAAAAGGTGGTAAACATATACCATCAGTCCTGGAAGTGTTCCAAGCTAAACCCCTAGCATAGTTATTATATGGGGCCCAGATTTGGACAGGCATTCACCTTGGGTCTACGGAAGCTGTCCAATCAAAGTTCTTAAGGCAAATTTTCTCTGTACCACCCTGTGTCCCAAATGCCTCATTGCGCCTAGAGGTTAATCTTCGCTCGGTAGAATTATGGATCTGGCATAGGACACTTAACTATTGGCTTCGCCTAAACTCAGATTCCCCCCAGTCTAATATCCCTAGTGCTGCAAGATTGTCACAAGAGCGCCTGGACTAAAACAACAGCTACTCACTTTGGGTTTTAGTAAAGCATACAGTCTAATTTGTCAGCGACGATTCCAACAGATTCCACACAAAAAACACTTATGTGGAGATGGCAGTACTTTGGAGATGGCATCCCTGTGGAGATGGCAGTACTGAATCGGTGGTACATGCCCTTCTGGCTTGCACTCTTTATAAAGACTTGAGGAATGAGGTTATCACCCCTCTTTTATTGTCCATTCCAGGTCGCCCAGCCACTGCCACACTGCCCTTTCTCTTGGCAGATCAAGATGAGCAGGTGACAGCAAATGTTGCAAGGCTTTTAGCTGGGGCAATTAGAATAAGATCCACTATTTGACTATTGATTCAAAACCCTAAAATGTATTTTATATAACTGACTTTTTACTTCTATTCTTTGTACAGTCATACCTCCGGTTGAATGTACTTCAGGATGAGCGCATTCGAGTTGCGCTCCACAGCAACCCGGAAGTAATGGAGTGCGTGTTCGACTCTTTGTGACCCCATGGACCAGAGCACGCCAGGCACTTCTGTCTTCCACTGCCTCCCGCAGTTTGGTCAAACTCGTGTTAGTAGCTCCGAGAACACTGTCCAGCCATCTTGTCCTCTGTCATCCCCATACATCACTACTGGGAAAACCATAGCTTTAACTAAACGGGCCTTTGTTGGCAAGGTGATGTCTCTGCTTTTTAAGATGCTGTCTAGGTTTGTCATTGCTTTTTCCCCAAGAAGCAGGCGTCTTTTAATTTTGTGACTGCTGTCACCATCTGCAGTGATCATGGAGCCCAAGAAAGTAAAATCTCTCACTGCCTCCATTTCTTCCCCTTCTATTTGCCAGGAGGTGATGGGCCCAGTGGCCATGATCTTCGTTTTTTTGATGTTGAGCTTCAAACCATATTTTGAGCTCTGCTCTTTCACCCTCATTAAAAGGTTCTTTATTTCCTCCTCACTTTCTGCCATCAAGGTTGTGTCATCTGCATATCGGAGGTTGTTGATATTTCTTCCGGCAATCTTAATTCCGGTTTGGGATTACAGCTAAATAAA